AAAAAATAAAACAACAAACCGTTTGTGATTTACATTAACTAATAAGACAGTTTAGTAATTTCACTAAAAGTTTGCAAATTTAAACAAATATTTTAATAAAGCTTAAAAATTAAATATTTTTTATAGTATTTTTTAAATAATATAACTGTATGATTAATCTATGTATCTAATGTATGTAATCTAATATTTATTTTAATATCTTGATCACTCTAAAACTACAACGAACTCCATCCATTATGTTTTTCAGCTTTTTATGAAGTGTATAATGAATTAATTCACAAAAAAAAGTCAGATCTATATTTCAAACAATTATATCACCTAAAATATTATAATATTGTTATGAATTAGTAATTTAAGAGGAAACATGTAGTCTATGTAAAAACATTTAGTAATAACTGACATTAATGAATGCAATCGAGTTTCGTTAAGTAAATTGATAACCATAATATTATAGTCAATATATTGCACTAATCCTTTATGGCCTTATATAAAATAATATAATGTAGAATAGTGAACAAAATTATAATATCATTTAACTATACAATAGTAGATAATATTTATGAAAATTCCTGAGATCAGTTATTTATCGGTATCCCTGAATTTTTCAAACCGAAAATTGCTGGGGACCCTGAAATTGAAATGAAATCCGACCTAAGATACAGCATTAACATATTGTGTGGCCTATGTGTGCGTTTTAGGCGTCATTTGATTAACACAATATAAAAATCGAAAAAAAATTCAAAAATTTCAAATGCGTTTAAATAGCTTAAAATTACAAATTATTCAGAATGGATAGGAATTAATAGTTTTAGAAATATTGGTATTTTTCAAGTATTACAGAAAATATTTTTTGATAATACGAAAAAATAGAAAATTGTTATTTTATTTATTAATACCTATTCACCCAATTCTAACAAAATATGAACTTCATAAACTTATAAAATATTAATATAATAATGTATATTTATGGTTAAACTTGGTTTTTTAATTATAGAAAGAACAGCTCACGAGAAAGCTTATATTAAATGTTTAAACCTAAGTATTAAAAATTAAAATTAAATACTTATTAGTGATGTCACTAATATCCGGATTCCAATACTATTTGGAATAATCCGAATAATCCGGATATTTTAAACTTGTTGTTTACTTATTAAAAAGACATTATCTATATTCTATGATATGAAATATAATATCATGAACTTCTGCCTACTCCATCAACCGTCAAAATATTTTTAAAACTTTCCTTTATAATCATTATATATGTGAAAATTTGAATTATTCGGATTATTCAGTTATTAAATTGTTTGTGATTTTTAACATCACTAATACTTATCCACCTACTAACACGTTCGAACATATCTAAATATTAATACTATCTCACCCAAAGAAGATGTATTCAGTTCCGGACAAGAATCAAGTACTATAAATTTCTTTAAGATTGGCAAGCATGTATAAAAAACTCAAAGAAAATATTGTATCACAATATAATTGTGAAATTGTTCACAGTAAAATTGTCTAAAATTTTAAGCTATCATAGGCTAATATTTATTATTAAACAATTTATTTGAAGTCTTAATCTAATAAGTAATACTGATAGAAAAACAAAATACTCATTCTATAAATTATTCGAATTCTATCAAAACATTATTTATGAATAATAATTTTAAGAAATGTATTCATGCATTTCGATATTTTTTAATTTCTTTTGATTGCTGTCTGAAAATCTCATATATTCACGTAAAAGTATTACATTTATATTTTGACTAAAAATCCAAAAATAAACTTAAAAAGTTATTTTTATATTAAAATATAATATAATATATTATTTTTTTAATTATAGACACTCGTATTATATAGAATATACACAATTTAATTTGTTTCAGAAATTTTAAAATTATATTCAAATATTAAAATTAAACCTTTATCCCCAGTCTGGCATACAAATAATACATAATTGTTTCAATGTTTTATAATATTAAACGAGGTATGATTTGTTATTATACCATTCAAAATTTTAAAGTTTTAAAAACTGCGATGTATATTAAATTTCATACTAATAAAATATCATAATATCCAAAAATGAATCAAACTTCACTCTCTCATATCTTTTAATTGCAGACTAATAACTGTTTTCAATTTATTTATAAAACATCACTTCATCTTGAATCAAGTCAAGCAAAAATACATTAGTGTTCGTCACTAATCTGAAATTTTCCCAAATTTCTTTATAATCTCTTTGGTTGAATCGAATAGATATCTAATTTTTTGCATTAAAGACATAGAAAACAATACATTTGTATTTATAACTTGATCCAAAAATCCGAATAAAGGAAATAATGCTTTTGTCAATTACAATTTTTCCATTAATTTATTATTTTAGTTTAAAGTAAAGTTATATAACCGTGCTTTAAAGTTTTAATTCTCTTTTCTATTTGAAGTTTACCCATTCGTTTATCATTAAACTTTTTCAGCCTAAAATGTTTGTTTTCATTTTATGATTTTCGTTATAAAAAAAATGTTACTAATATTTTAGTTTTCATTATTTATGATTTTTTTTTTATTAAATAACTATAATTTACCAACTGCTAACAGATAAATGTGATTATTACTTTTTTATTTATTATTTTAACAAGACGTATATTTATTTGAACCATCTATCCAAGTATCGTGTACCTATTTCTTTATAATACTTCATTATTAAGCCACGAGATGGCGAAACATGACAATAACTGATTTTTATTTCAATTAATTTCACAAATTTAAGTTTATAAATCATAATTATATTTTTATACAAAGCCTTCAGACACACATATATTTGCAATAAATATTTTATTTTTTTTTTACAATTAAAGTAAATAATTATAGAAAGTTTGATTACTAAAATATTATTTCTTTCCAGGTGTAAAATATTACATAAATACTACGATAAAATATTACTCAATACTTATAAATTATAAAACGAATACTGAAAAGTATACTGCTCTAATAGTTAAGGCTATACTACCTAAATAATTATACTTAACTAGTCAAATTTTCATATTTTGTATATTACACCAAACTTAAAGTAGTTAAAATAGCTTTAAAAAAAAAGTAAATATTATTTGAGCTAATATTGAATATACAGCATCTATTAAACTATACAAATACTATTATAATATTCAATATAATAATAATGTAATCAAATATTTAAATCGCTTCGATATAATTTCATACTTGATACTTGATTTTCAATCGTATATCGTTGATAGCTAATATTCAAAACGGAAGTTACAATATGACGTTAACTAAGTTAATACTACTATAAAATATTCTGTTAAAATTAAAAGATGACATACATTTTTATCAGAAAAAAAACTCAATTTAACAACATCAATAATATAATTCGTTTAATAATAAACCTAAAAACAACATTTTAACATACTTAATAATAGATACTTACAAATTGTATATGATTACGTATAATATACACTAATACATGGTATGATGGTATAACATTACTTATGAGTTATGACAAATAATGATATTATTCATAGAAACGCCAAACACATCATTAAAGGAATTCGCCATAATCTGATCTACATCGATATTTCAAACTCTTGGGAGGAAGCATATACAAATACGATGAAACTAATGTTATTAAAAATATCTATATGAAAAAATGTTAAATTATAGTAATAATAACTCTAATATTTTACGAATTCCACATTTTTTAAGAGCCACATATTACGTCGAAGCTATCATTATCAAATATATATGTAAATGTTTGCCACACACAAGTGTACAAAACACAACATTGTACATTATACAGCAAAAACAAATGAATACAGATATATAATGAATATAATGACATGTGGAATAAGAATTTTTGAGTTAATTTAAAATATGCAGAATGCAGATGTGTAAAAAGTAGTATTTCATTGCGTAATTCACTTATGTCATGCCGGTCAAACATGTGATAGCATATAATATAAGCAATAACGAATAATAATTAAACATTGTAATATTCTCATCTTAAAATAATTTTTATGATCAAAACTAATTGTCAATATTCAGTCAGTAATTTACATGCTTATTAGTTCTAAATTAAACGTATTGTAGTTTCATAATTTTTTTATTTTCACTTAAGCCTTGTGAGTATTTCTTATATAAATTTAACTAGAAATTTAAAGAATTAAATATTATTTTATTTAAAATATATATGGTCCACATTACCGTTTGTCTAAATAACCACTCATTTTTACTACGATTGGCTCAAAGATCGATATTAGAATGAACACTACTTTTCATTTCAATATTGGTTATCCATAAAATTTCGTTTTTATACATTTTACCTAATTTTTTTTTTTTTTACTAATATAAACTTTTAAGATAAAAAAAATTTAATTTATAAAATATAATATATTTTTTATTTCTTTAATAGCTATTATGCTCTAAAATACGTAAAAGAAAAATATTCTAGAACCAATAGGTACCATTATGTTATTTTTTAGAGGTCTAACTTAAATTCAGGGGCAGACTGGGTATCGAGGGACCTAAAAGTTTAATTAACTGGACCTATTATTATTATATTTTAATTAATAAATATTTTTAGTTGATAGTGCTCAATTCATTTTCATTCATTTTCAAATGAATGTTATTTTACTATTTTATTTTAATATTACATTTTATACACAAATATATTATATAATTTTTATTAATATGGCACTATCGAGAGCCCGGGAGGCGATTGTCTCTTTGCCTCCCTGACTAGTCTACCCTTGCCCAAATTATATTAATATGATAAATTATAATCATTTTAATCATTACAGTAATAATAATAATAGTTATTATTATATTTTATATTTTAAACATATTCACCACAATAATTCCATATTTATTAATACAGATAACATTTTTGGTATCTCTTTCGCTCTGCAAAAACTTTGTATCTATGTATTAACCAAAAAAATTAATTACAAGACATGTGTATTTATTTGAACTCAAGTTTTATTGTACACAATTATTTCCAAAATAAGTATTAAAAAATAGTTAAAACAATAAAAATTAATAGCTAAATGACAAACATTTTTAACCCACTGTACTCATGATGGATTAAGCTATCATTTACAAGACCGCGACTGAACTAGACGCGTGTTTGGACGCAGCAAAAACGACTCAGCGACCGCGCATATTCTCGTCATTTAACCAACCAATAAAGCGAGCAGCAGATAGCTTATGCATAGGGCACAAGTCGTCTAACGTAAGCACACATTAGAAACGGAACATTAAAACTAAGAATTTGAAAAAATAAATATCACAAATTCATAGGCAGAAACAAACTTGGCATCTGACACTGACAACGCAGTTTCTTACGAACTTTTTGGACCGTCTCCAAAGTGATTTATGTCCCCTAGACTGTCGAGGTCTGACGACTATTTCACCGGCATTATGTACTAGAAATGACGGCCATGCTTTCGAAGATCCATACACCACCAATTGTTTATAAGTGGTTATGTTGTACGGCAAGTTCATATAATTCCATGGTATCGACCAAAACGCCCAAGGACCTTGCGTTCGGCATAATGAACGGCGTTTTATCGCCATAAATGGTTGAATAGATAGATCTAAAGTGTCCGTTACAGCACGAACATTAACTTCGAAAAACTCTCGTTTCCTTTTTCTGTTATCATCCATTTACGTACTTACAATAAATAATACGCACGATGACCGATTCAGTATTCCATGATGCGATCATGCGCTACCAACTACAAGTAAAATAATACAACACAAATGTAGATTACAATAAAGTGTTCAAATATTTACAACATTTTATAAACGAGTAGTATGACAACTATAGTTTTAGAAAAAATAACATGGAATTTTACAAAAAACATAGTTAAATAAATATTCTACTCATTTACAAAGGAATTTATTGACAAAAAAACAAATTCATTTTATATTAGTACTAGTCAATAACAATACATTTTATAATAATCTCCTTTATTTTAAATAAAAAAAATCATTTAAAATATCCTTAACCGAAAACATCATTACATTCAATATTTAATAATGTAAATGTTTAATGTGTAATTATAATCAATATTATATATTACTGTTTGTATAGGTTAATAGCTTAAGATTGTGTTTACTTTTTGTTGTAAAAGATCCTTTTAAGCGTTACAAAATATTAGTAAACAATGTAGTATAAGTATGATATTAAAATCTATGTCATTAAAAATGTTAGCGTGTAAAAATAAAAAATGTAATGTTAATTATTACTAATGTTCATGATTAAGCCAAAATATCGGTTTAATAATCGATAATAATTATTTATATAAATACAATGTTAAAAAACTCACACTGATATATTCGATACTGCGTTATATATAAACCAAATACACACATGCATATATATAAAAAATTTACTGACATATGAAAACAAACGTCTAGACTCTATAATTTAGAGTATCGGTATATATCTTTGGAAATGTTTGGTCTGTAGTGAGAGGCAATACATCGGAGTGCGGTCGGTTGGTCGAGATTAGCGAAATATACTCAAAAATCACGTGCAAGTCGTACGCGCGTTCGTGATGTACAACCGAACTTCTGAATTGTATTGGATATTATTGTGTATTATATTAAGAATATGGAGCGATATCGCATGCTCCGGCGCGACTACGTTGTCTAAATTATTATTATAGGCTGGTGAGGAAGTCTGAATCCTTTACGATACGAAACATAACCTAGCGGCACGATCTTAATGCAGTAGATATAAAACATCCGACCGTATGCGACAACTGAATATTTAAACAAACGTACCGGGACAAGACATACTATCGGCGCTCAACGTGTGTTACGGCTAGAGAAGGGGTGTGTATAACTGTCGACCATACGTATAACCATATTATTATTATTATTATTGTTATGTATATGTTTCAGATTTAAATGGCTAATTGCCGGCGTCCAGGATAATCTAATCTCCTGCGCGCTCTACTGCAAGTCCGTCTTTTTGTACATCAGGAAAGGAGGATTTGACCTATTGATTTTCTGTCATTGGCTTTTTTTTTCTATCGGCTAAACACCCATTTTGCGATACAAATATGCTAATATCGCTGACAATATAAACGACAAACGGGATTGACTTGAATTTACCACAGTACACTATATAATATAAAATACTATATATTATTAACAACAAATAGATACAACATAGAATAGTGTATCTATTCTGTATACGAATGGATTTACATAGTTTATAACCCTTCGACAATCAATAGTTTCCATTCACAAATATTGGAATTTATATTTTTAAAACGCTGTATTATATGCGTTGAACTACGTCATGATTAGTACAAAAATAAAAATAAAACTTCAGAAAGTCATATAAACTCGTTTTTTGATTTATATAAATCATAAATGTTACACGTGACATATTTTTATGTCATGTTTATAATGATAGGTATTCAGGTTCAAGCATTTCAAATCATAAAATAAAACATAATCAATTGACCAACATAATATTATAGTTTAAAAAACATTATAAAATCGTATCACATATAAAGATATTACTACAAGTATAAAAACATTTTCATCTTAAAAATCTCTATAGATTACATTTATTTTTTGATGTTTTTTTTCAAATAAAGTATTAAAATAGTATCAGACAATATTGTGGTTTATCTTTCGTTTATGCGTTTATTTCGACTATCATTTACTTATTTTATAATGGTTTAATAGTACGTGAGAGCCATTAAAACGAAATTAATTTGGAAATATTGAATTAGCTGATTGACCGAGTGGTTCCGCCGCCTTTATGCCTGCTCGGCTGTATTGACAACATATATTTATACGTCCACTGGTAAGAAGAGAAAAAATAAGTATCGACGCGATTTGTTATAATAACGAGGGGTCTGCATATAGAGAAAAAACCCTAGGGTAAAACTATATGTGATGAAAAAATACACACATACACATACTATTATATACAATATACGTACACACAAATAGACCTGTGCGGTTCGTACCCACGTCTTGACTCCGAAGGGGGCGGTATATTTTTTCTCTTATTCTATCCTACGCAGAAGAATCCCCGGGCCACCTTTGTCACGTTCAATTCTACGAAATTACGCAGGTTTCCATTTCGTTCCATGTCAAAAAAAAACTCTTTAAACGCACGCAGAACCAAATTTTGATTGTAAGCAAGAAACAAACTCTCGTGGTTTATATCGTTGAATATCCCGTTGAGTTTTTTTGAGTGAAATTTACCGTTTTGTAACCACCATTGTACATTTCTTATAGTAGGTAGTAGGTACATATACAATATCGGCAAAACACAATTAATATTATTTATTAAAACGCAAAAACATTTTACTGAGTTAATTCGTTTTATTCAATAATATTAGAATAATTTGATATAATCAATAGTTAATAAGAATGAATGTATAATAAATAAATGACTAGGCATGTGTGGTAAACATTGATGAACATAAACACAACACAAATATAAAAAAAAATTACAAGATGAATCGTAGAGATACAACTTAAAAATGTAATCTTAAAACACTAAAAATATTTATTGGAAAAATAATTTAAATAAATAATTATGTAGATACTTATTTCAGAAAGTAATAAATGTGTTTCAAAATTACTTTAAAAAAAATATTAATTGAAAGCAGAAATATTCAATAAAATATAACGCATTATAAATCAAAATTCTAACATTATTCATAACACTATATTCATAAAACTAACTTCATAATAATTTTTAAATATAAGGAAATTTGTTTTATTATGTATCAAATAAAATTTAGAAATAAGCAACTTTGCCCAAATTGATTCTATTTGTATATACTCGTAGTTGCAAAATGTGTTGTGAACCATGTACAATAACATTATTATATTTATATTCATAAGTATGCGTGACAGTATATGTATAGTTTTTCACGTATAAAATCTTAAGACATTAACATTATAAAGTGGTTTCAAGACATAAAAAATGCATATATACATTATATATTATTTATATATTATAAGTGGCTCCTATAATAACTGGTTAGTAGTTATTACGTGCTCCCGTATTAACTATACGGGAGCACGTTACAAGGATTCGTTCTTTTATTATTTGTTTAAAAATATAGAATTAAAAATAAAATAAAATATAAATTAAAAAAATTATTCTCACTTTTATTTAAACCTTTTTTTATTTATTTCATAACTTATTATGATTTATTATAAAACAGTTATGTTATATGGTATTAAACTATTATGTTGGTTAGATGTTACGTTATAATTTAAAATATAATATTATAATATTTAGTGTCAATAATAGAAACTTCAATGAAGCCGTTTTATCCATATATCTTATTTTTATTTTTTGTACGTATTAGGTACCTATTGTATTAATGTCTTTTTTAGTAAAAATATAATTATAGTTCACAAGCTTGCTTATTCCTAAATTAAATAATAAATTTATAACATTTATAAACGGAAAAATTGCTAAACTTTTTTTTTTTTAATTTGAGGATTTAACAAATTATAACTAAAATAATTTTTTCCATTGTCGAAAAATGAGACTTCGTAGCATATTGCTTAATGTCTGATAATAATAAATATTAAGTTTTGTAATAATTTAGTCATCGAAAATTTTTTAGAAATTAAAACACTAGCTAAAATGTATCCATATAGAATTATGTACATAATATCGTTTTTTTATCTCATAAATTCTAGGAAGTAAAAGGATGTTTAATAGTAATTGGTCAGTTTTTAAGGTAACTACCTAACTAATTCAATTCTAATCATATTATATATTACAAAATTAAACTTACTTAATAACATTGCAAAATAATTATTAAGCAATACTAAGATATAATTATTAAAAGTGTTTTTAGTACAAAAATTTGATTTAAAGGAAAAAATCTCACACCTCATAAAAAAGTCAAATTTTAATAATTGTTTTTAAATAGGTAGAAAAAGATAATTGTTTTACACAAATCGCATTAAAACCTAGCTTTAAGAAATGTATATTTAGAAAGTGTTAGAAACGTCTAAGTAATGACAAATCATTGTATTGACTATTTTTTTTTTTTTTACTTTTTATTTTAAAGCGTACACTCTGTAAATAAATTATTACAATAAGTACGCATGCGGAAATATATAATATAACTTGACATAAACGTGATAAAAGCAGCCACCCGATGGCGACACTTTATGACATGATTAGGTTGAGACTATTTTTTTAAAATATATTATATGTTCGGCCGTTTATTCAAAAAAATCTAAGTACCTAAAATATTTGTAATGAATGTGTTAGTCCCAGAACGCTTATCTTATTGCTTCTATTTACCAAATCGATGAATAAAACTATAAAATAAATTATTTATAATTCAATATTCTTCTTATCCGCATATTTTTAAACCTTAGTGTTTTAATCTTTATAATATTGCTTGCCATTTATCAAATTGACAAATATAGTATAGGATAAGTTATTTTCGAGCAATTTTATGTGTATTTCTTAATAGTATTTGAATCAACGACGTGGGTCAATGAACAACTAATTTACTGATAGCAATAAGATGATAGTTAAAAATAATCAGTAGGTATACAATTATTAGTGTCATCGGCAAAATTTTTGTTTTTTTTTTTCAAACAGATACGTTAAATACCAAATCCAATCCTTTAGTTGACTTTGCATTAAATATCTTATATATTGTATAAAAACAGAGACATCTCACAAAGGTAAGAACATAAAAGCTTATAAATCTATATAAATAAAATTAAAATATTTATGTTATCTTGTTCGAAAGCTTGTAGTTTATATATATATATATATATGTTTGGTTTACTAAAAGTAATACAACGATATTAGGTAAATAATAATATATTATTATGTTAAATTGTTACCTACATAAATATTTAAAAAAAAAAAAAAAAGTATAATATATAAAAGCTAAACGTTACAATTGGAAACAAATTATTATTTCAGATACAGAGATAGAACTGTTTGATAATCGTATTATTGTTTTTATTCAAATAAAAAAAAGAAAAGAAACAATTACTTACTGTTTATACAATATAATATCTGTAATCAAATAATGAAAATAATAATTGAAAATCAACTTTCTATTAAATGTTTATCGTTAGAAATTAAATCGAATAATTTGAAATTTAATTTAAATGATTATTTGATAAATCATTTTTGAGAAATAATGTTTTCAACTCTGCATTTGATATTTTAATGGCATTATTTCGTTAAAACACCGGGAGGTGCACCGACTTTATACGTGAGTCCCCTTTAGAAAATATTTTATAGTAAAATGCCTACTAATGATATACTTGTAAGCATTCAAATAAAACCTATTCATTTTACTCCATGCTTGTAAATGCATAATTTTAATTTATTTTATTTTGTATATTAATACAACAAATAAACATTAAACCAAGATAATTCTCAAATATATAGCAGTGAAATTAAGAAATACGTAGAGCAGAAATGTCAAACTCAAAGTATCAAGTAGGCCAAATATATTGAATAGTTTACTATGAGGGTTTCACATAAAAATTTAACAAAAAAAATAAATATTTTATGTAAATTTTTCTATTTTATTATTTACGTTTACGAACACATCAGATACAACTAAATTAAAAAACGTTAGCTTATCAGAAATTTAGACAATATAATAATGTATACCACATAAACCATTCTCTAAGAACCTAAGATAGTTGTGACACGACATTTTATATTTTATTATTACTTTTTTTTTTTATCCATTAATATTGGTAGCCGTGGGCTAAAAAAAAAATGAGCTGAGGACCGCATGTTTGACATGCCTGACGTAAAGAGTAACTCGACTCTACGAAAGTAAACTCAATATTAAAATAAGCTTTTAAATAAGAAATAAAATTTAAGTGTTAAATGGGTTACAATGGGTATAAATGATTTTTTTTGTGTGTGTTCATAATCAATTTATGAAACATACAATTTTAATTTCAATATCTTAGGTTTAAAAATTTAAAACAAGACTCATATAATGTTATTTACTGGAAATTAAATCAAAAAGTTAATCGTAAAGACATATATAAAGTTTATGAGTATTTTAGTATTTTAAGTTCAATTTTGACATCATTTTTCAAAATACGCAAATTATTTAGTTGTTAAAAATGTACAAAACTTTTTAATTTTAATAGCTTAGGCCTAAAAATGTAATTCAAGTTACTTCATAAATTTAACTTAGAATTAAAATTTCACACACAAATTACAGTAACCTTAAGTATTCTCGATAACAAAGTACCATCGAAACTCACTATACAACGGAGTAAGTATCGACTTTCAAATTTTTTTTTTTACAATTAATTAGATTTCAGTTTGAATGACTGAATTAGCTTTAAAGTAAATCTTAACTTTATAAAATTACCATGGTAAAATGCTCATAACTCGATTTAAAATGTATCCATTAATGAAAGTCTAACTCCTAGATAATATCTTTAAATTTAAATTTGATAATAAGTAAATTAATTTTAATATTTAAAGTTTAAATCTTAAACTATCGATATCAACTTAATTCCGTTGAACACATATCTGACTATTTAACAGTGACAAAATATGCGAGTATCACGTCCTTTTAGTTAGTAATATTATGTATCGAATTACTGATCCAATCAATATCATCAAGCTGAACCAATTCTATAGGTAATACGTTTCATTAACCTAGTGCAATGAGCACCAACAAACCATCACAGTACAACAATATATCTATGTTTTATATTAATTTAACCGTATTTATATACACAATGAAATATCGGACACACTCGATCGTCAAAATTGTGTCTGCTATTTAGAGGTGATTGAGAGGTAGATATAAAAAAAATAAAATACATAAAAATATATCAAAAACATGATACACGTATGCTTATTTTTATTATTTGTATGTATGAATATACTTATATGTAATATTATTTAAAACAAATTCAGTTACCGGATGAGGTGGTTATTTTTTACGACGGATAAGATAAGCTATCATAATATAGGTATAATAATGTATAAAAATGATAAATGTACATTGTAATAAAATTACGGTAAAAATTATCAAAGTCTAGTCATAAAAGTGTTCATTATTTATTTTGAGGTTTTTTCTATAGATAAACAGTGAAAATGTTCCAGTTTCCAAAAAAATATCTGCTATTTGGAGATGTCTAATAAGAGAGGTTTCATTGTATTCGTTTTAACTTTTATCTCAAATAATTTATATACTTTATGTAAAGCACGATTTCATCCAATGGCCACAGCAGCCGCGGATTATTATTCTAATAAAAAAAAAAAAAAAAGAAACTTTGTATTATACAATAATAATAACAATATATTACATTTTATTGCAGTAGAATAATTTCAGCAATGGATTCATTACACATAAGGTCATAACTCATTACACTTTGGTAACACGCTTTAACAAGATTTTAGTTCTATGTACCAGTGTGCCACGAAATAAAACTGAGTAATCGTCGCTTTGTAAGTTGCAGTAGTCTCGAACAACAAACTATAAGTTTTCAACACATTGATAGTAATGAATCATAATATTATATACGAGTCTTGATGATTCGAATCACGAGGAAAAAGAAAATAAATTTTACTTAAAAAAATGTTTTGAGGTATAAAAACCTTAAATGTAATTTATAAACACTCCAAGGAGCAAAACAAAATTGGAATTATGAACATTTTTGTGTTAACTTAACCTCATCACCACTCACTTAAATAATAAATAAGCTCGGAATATTAATATTCATCTAGGATAGCGCTAGAAAAGAGTCAGTCTCATGGATACCCATATGACTCAGAAACGCCTATGAGGATCGAATCATTACAATATTTTGTATATTATTATCGAGAGATAACTTTCGAAGTCGAGACGTTTTAAACAGCTAAATGAAATATTATGTTCAAATGTAAATTACACGGACATAAATAATAATAACATTTTTGATGAAATCTCTACATGGTGGCTTTTCGTTTGATTTCGCGGAATTATTTTTTTATTTTAAGCCTCGTAGCGTGCAATGATTGTCTTCAAAAATTTCACTTTCCATTGTATTATTGTTGCATTACACGCCAAACGTTTTATGGGTCCTTTCATTTTAACATCACGGGACGGCCGGACCCTATTCATAACACTTAAGCGCTCAGGCTCGCTATACTTTCTACGCTGCATAGTCGATCTGCGATCACACCACCTATGGTCGTGGTTAACTATCGCGTCACCGTACACAGTGTACAAGTCGTTCTGCGATGTTTCATAAATACGTTCAGCACATCCTTATCTTGCTAATTCATTACTGTCCGCGAATCGATAAGTATAAGATACGATACCGTTTACCTGTAGCATATATAATATCGGTCAGTCACCTATACACACCGTATAGCACAATATTATAGGTACCTGTGCAATATTATTATTATCATCGTCGTCATGTACGCATTAAAGACATAAGTAACGACGCAGAACACGGTTACCCAGCATATTTTTTAGTCGGCCGTGGCGATCACCCCCTATTACCGCGTCCGTGTGCCGCAAGTATGACCCCGGGGAAAATGTTTGCCCCCTCATCGGGCACGTCACTGTATGCCGAACCAGCGGACCTGAAAACCGGTTATGTGTGCGCGCCCCGAAAATCGCCGCCGACTTTCCGACACTGGTCGGAGGGGCGTGGGCGTTTAAGGTCGTCATCGTCATCGGAGGGGTTCAGGCGAGTCCGGACCCTTTGTACCCGTTGCCGCCGCCGTGTGCACCTGCCACCATCCTAGTGTGGTGTATGTGTGTGGGTATAATATGCGTGTGTGTGTGAGTGTGTTTTTAGCGCGGGCGCGCGCGCGTTTGTGTGCGTGTTGTGTACAGGCGCCAAGTCTTGGCCGTCCATTTGGGGGGGGTCCCCTCCGTCCGGGTTGTCGGTGAAGGGTGTTGGAGGGGGATCTCCGGTGGGTGTGCGTGCGTGTGAGTGTTAGCGCGGGTGGTAGAGGGGACGGCGTACCACAGCCGCGTGCGTCACATGACGTCACGGCCGCCGACCCGTACCCTAGAGGGGGTTGCCGGCGGCCGAACCACGGTGTGCACGTACGTTCAGCGGCGGCGGCGGCGGTGGTGAAATTCAGTAACGTTCTCGACGTGTGCGAATCGTGTCACGCGCGTTCGCTGATGTCCGCCCGCTCACCAGTCCGCCAGCCACCGCAAAAGCCTCGCACTAATTAAATTTGATCGGTTCGCGATTTTATAATAATTGTCATCGCAATATTAAATATCGTACTGTACTAGTTGTTACTATATTATCATACCGTACAACCGTCGTTCAAGGAACTATAAAAAGAGGTAATATACTATTCAATATATTATATATTATAATGTTTTATTATTCAGTATAAGTATATAGTATGTAGAGTACCTACTCTAAATGATAATAACATACAAACTATACAGTGGTATGTCGGTATCTCCGTAGTATACTTGTCCGGAAATAGCTTGATGTAATAATAATATATAGTGCGAAGTATTGTGGGTACAGATTAATATTGTCATATAAATACGCATGTATAATAAAGATCAAAAATACCTATACGCTCGGCATATAATATTATTTACCTACAGAGTCATAAGACCTAGCAGACCGGCTATTTCCGGCGGAGACTGCGCATATTCCGGAAGTTCGCGGATCGTTGCATCCTACGGACGTCTATACAACAGGTGAAACGGCTAGCGGCAGCACGTGTGCGTATTATCATCGCACGATGAATTATTAGTGTTATAAAATTATATTTTATCTCCGGTACAGTCTGGACACAAAGACGTGCGCGGACAGTGGCACTTTGATAATTGTCCTAGGATAGTATAATATTAATATCACTATTCACTATGCAACGGCGGTATAAATACGCACTAGTGGACCGGTCCCCCCGAAACTGGTTTCGATTTTATTTTTTTACCACATCGTACGTCAGTGGCGACGGGGAACCCAGACCGTAATCATAATAATAATAACATAATCGCACTTATTATGTATATATGGTGGTTTTTTAGATGTCCACAGGTTACTATAATAACAATAATATAATGTTAAGTCGCGTGACAAGGACGTTCGGATTTAGCTGTTACACAACATCGCTGTTGTCGTCGTAAAAATCAGCGTGCAAATCTACTGTCCGAGCGAGCTCCGACTTATAAGAATCATCATCAATCCAGCATCGCGCGTACCTAACAAATGTGTCCTATGGTAATATCATTGCCGTCTCTCTTGCATTTGTTTATTGCCGAGTACGTGTGTTTATATACTATACTATGATATTATGTTAACAACATGCACCCGTCTAACACTTAGTATATACCATATTATTAGTGTCATCCTCGTTATGAGTAAAGGAGGTGAGCGAGAGGGATATATGCTAAACTGCTTTACAGTTGTTAGCCTTAGACTCACTATTTCGCCACCCAAATCCACCGCCACTGACCCATTTGTCATCGTGACAAATTTCTATTTACACGAGTAGGTAATATTAATACTATTTAAGAACAAAAATTATTTGTGCGTACAAATATCCCAACTTATAGTATATAGTACAAACATCACAATTTCTAATGAAATTAGACGATTGACACTACGAATAGTAGGCAGTAAAACTTATTCATTTGGATTTAATCCTAGTATACCCTTCGACAAACTATTGAAATTCTTTTTATCTACTTAAAACTATAAAAGTATATCTACACAACATTTGTGTTGTACCTACTGTTGTGTTCGATATCCACTGCAGTAGACACCCAAGGTAAAATAAGTATAATTTTAACGGAGACCTTGTAATCGTGTCCATAATACATATACCTACGTATATGATTATCAAAAATTTTTTAAAAAAATGGAGCAAATTTTTTTTGTTTTCGTTATTTTTTTTTATTTACATTCTATCTTATGTATAACTGGTTTTAACTTTTAACACGTCTACAGTATTGGTATATTGTACGTTTGTGACATTCACCTCATTCGTATTTATAATCTAATTTATCAATAGGTAACATAATAGGTTCAAACGTTACTGATCGGATTAATATTGCTTTAATATTTTATTATAGTTAATGGTAGTAATAAGTACTAGTAAGTAGTAACTAATTACAAATTATACAAATGTACATATACAGCTACTATAATTATAAATATAATAGTATTGTAAGAAGTTCTAAATATACTATAAGGATACTTATAATTTACATTTTATTTGTAATAAACTTTCATAGCATATTATTAGGGACTGAAGAATCTCTACTATACTATCAGTAATCCTATCTATCACGATACTTTTTGAAAAATGATTCAATTAAAAAACGTTCAAAGTATGAAAGGCAAATTTTAATAGACTTATAATAAACACATGAAACCTATAGGCATCTAAGTATTATGATATACCTAGTACTTAATAAATTATATACACATTTAAAAAAAAAAGTAATATCACTGTTTTCCAACTCCATTAAAAAAATATCCATAATATATAGTATGAACCAAATATACTAGTGATTTTAATTTTAAAATATCTTCTTGTATAAACTATTAATCCTAATTAAAATGTATCTACTTATTACTTACATTGATTTATCTCGTTCTCTTGTTGTAGTTATAATTTAATGTAATATAATATACGAATGTAAAAAAATGTAAACACTTAATTGGACAAGTTAAATAATAACTGTGAAAAAGTCTTAAGTCAATATAAAAATGTATACTATATGAATAAGAAATAAAAGAAACGGAAAGCATCTTGCTTAGATGTTTAAATGGAAAAATAAATCATTGTTTTGGGAACTTTGGAAAAAACCTTCCATGTCTATGCTTCATTAAACACAATACGTTTTATAATATGATATATATATATATATATGTGCAAAATGCGTCTATATTATAAGTGTGATTACATGAATTATATAAATTCAAGAAATTGTCAAAAACAATATATATTTTTATGTATCACATTAAATTTCTTTTAAAAATTATGACTAAAAATATCTTATTTTTATCGATAAAAATATATTTCATTAAAATATTATTAGGACCAATATATATTAGAAATTCACCCACTCAATTTTTATTTATGAATGATTGTAAGTTTATGATCTATGTTAGGTAATTTAGTAGACATCGTTCTGCTCGAATTTAATTTAGTCTATATGTATAATGTACTAATATACTACCACACTATCACAGTATTTAATAAACCTTCAATTTATTAGTTATTACTTATTACTATACAGTTTACAACATTAATGTTGGTTTAATATTAAAAACAAAACATTTATTAACAATTATTAACCAATGACCGTTTGTATTGAATAAAATAAGACTGTTCCAAATAATTGTACACAGTATATCTAAATAATTATTAATAAAAAAAAAAAGATTCATATTCATAAATTGTATTATATTTGATCATTATTAGTACTTTATACACTTAATATTATTAACCTTAAAGTACCATCACTTTTTTTTTTATTTTACCATTTAAGCATAACTATCAAAATCGTTAAATACTAAATATCAAACAACTTAGAATATAATTTTTTAAATAATCTCATGAACTCATTATTAACTATGTAAAATTATATATTTATTTTATAATAGAATAATTTGTTATGAGCTACATTTTTGGTGTATATAGTATGAACGTCTAGTATAATTTGACGAACATAATTTACATGATCAAAAATATACTCAGCTGAATGCTACCCTAATTTCAAATTTAAATATTCATAGATATTTCAAAAATCTATAAAGTTTTTATCTATTCTTAATAAATTGCATTTATGGATAATAATATGCTAGATGATTTTAAAAATATCGTCTAAATTAATTAACATTTAGTATTTACAATTCAAATCTAGTCTGGTTTGAATTTCTTTTCTGAAATCCTAAAAGTCTTTGATGATATATGAAGCTCTAAAACCGTGTTATATATAACTTCGAAGGGAGCGTCCTACATGCACTTTCCTTACAACTCGCAAAACTTAATACCTGGAATCTCGCGTATAGGGGCTTCCTTCGAGGGTTTTTCTCTCCTCCCCTTCTATTTCTCGTTCAGCACTATATATATGAGCGGCGAGCGCGTTTTGGTCGCCGGGTCGATATTGTGTTTCACAACATCGTGGGGGAGATATATACGCATTCAGGGGTGCCGGTACGGACAAAACAAGACCCCTAGAGGGAAGTCCCTTATTCAACCCCCCTCCTTCCACTCTACCACTCGTTTACAAGCCCGGTAACCCCATCCACTAGCAGGAACCCCCCATCGTGGTGCCCGACCCCAGGCGACGTCGTATAACTGTTCCGCCCCGAAATACTGCTGCGAACGCTGGGTCTAAAAATACATGGCCTTCGGCTGCACAAATGTAAAAAAAAAAATGCTTGAACTTTTATTTTTTTATTCCAGACGTTACCAAGGCAACGTAAAAATTGTGGACATAGTATTTTTGAGATATAATTTTTGTCTAAAATGTTACCACTAAGTTTTTAATTATATTCATACTAATTGGTTAGATTATTATTGTTATCACTTACCAATATAGTAAAGAATTGTGCGTTGATAACTGTCGCAATAATGTTTTATGTAATTGCACTTGCTTTAATACACTTGATAGACTATTTAATCTAGAAAAAAGTATTAGCTAATCGTAAGGGAACTTAATTTAAAGCACCTGTAACGCATAATAAATATAGTAATTTATTTTTGTTCGTACATCAATACATAATATATAAATAATTAAATATACTTATTTATGAAATATGTGAAACATACAACATTGCCAATATATTTTCTAAACCGATTTTAAATTGTATTTCTTCTTTCTTACTTTTTGTTTGCTTGTCTGCAGAGACTACCATACATCCGGTAAAGGACAGCTCACAGCACGCTGTTCACTAATGATATCTAGACATAATAAAAATAACAATTGCAGGTCATAAATTAAATACGTTGGTATAGTACCTATACCTTTTTTTTTTTTTTTGACACAGGATATCTACAGCTCTCTTTGCCTTCAATAGACACCACCTATTAAGGTCCTACGTTTTTATTTATTTATTTTTCTCGAAATTGATTAATGGGTCAAATTTTTTCTGGCTCTCCACAATAGTTTTGCCCATCATAAAGACTAAATCCGAGAATTCTTTGTCGAATACTTTCTAAAAAAAAAAATCATAATTTTCCATCATAGCTTTTGGTCCGCGTCCTTTTCGCCCCTCCAATTCACCCTCCGAGGCGTAGGCTCTCCCTGCATTATTTCATGTGATATTATCGACTGTGGATTCCCCCTATACCCCCACTGAGTCACCAAGCAAAGGGTCTGTCCCCCTTGTTTTAATCCCCCTTTCACGCTGCCCCTCCCCACAACAAGCCCGCGCACATGCACACGCGCGCGCGCTCGCGTATATATATATATATATATATATATATATATATATACAGGGTCCGTGCTTTTAACGATCGCTACGACGGTTCCCTCGTGGCAGTTCTCCCCCACTTTCTACCCCCTACACACATGAAACAAAAAAAAATTATATCAAGCTAAAAAAGGGTTGCTGAACTGCTAGATTAAAGAGCCAAGTTCAGTATCACTTGTTACTAAAATTATGATAATCAAACGTCATGTAATTTAATGAATAATAAAATACTATGTGATATTATTCTTAAACATGCTGTAATATCTTAAGTTCAGTATTATTTTTATTTACATTTAATATTTATACATATTTATAATCAATTTCATTTTTAATAGTTGAATCATAAGAGATAAAATTCATACCTTATTATATTAATTATCAACTGTTTTAAAATGTATAATGTATAATATAGAATCATCTTATCCAAAAAAGTTAATTTATATGTTATTGATTGTAGTCATATTAGGTAGGTACTAGGTATACAATAATTTATAATTTAGATAAATAAAATAAAAGTTTCGTTTCAACATCGGAAAATGTTTGTTGATATTCTTATTTGAATCACTTGACCACACATTCAAATTACATTGTAAATAAACAGCTAATCTATATTAAACATTTTATCAATATAAAATCATTTAAATTAATATTTAATCCAATAATAGATAAATTGCATGTATATATATATATATATATACACTAATATTGTACATTTTATAATTTAATTTTTATAAAATTATTCGATAAAATTGTTAAAAATCATAATTTACCTTCGATCTTAATTTTTTTTTCGACATTGTCGGTTAAATAAAAATTACGAATTATGTAAAATCCACTTCTTTGATTTTAAGTTTTAAGACTAACTTCAGGGGGAAACAGTTGATTTTCTATATTCATTCAGCTGTATATTTCCGTGAACATTTTTAAACTATAGCTACTACGTCGGTGCGCACATGCGGGACCCTCGCTAAGGTTTTATAATGTTGCCCCATAGTCAGGACGTCCATGCAGCAGGTCTATCCAAAAAGGTCCGGCTCCCCCGCCTGTAGCGTGCCCGCCCCCAACCATACACCCGTCCCTTCCTCAGCACACGGCGTATATGCGCATCGTGCTTGTGTACGTGTGTATGTGTGAGTAATTTTATACACAGATATACACATATACTAAATCCAAGGCCCCCCGGCATGATGCTCGAATACTTCGCAGGGGTGACCAAAATTCGAGTCAATGTTTCGATTTGTTAAGCATTTATAAAAACAAAATAACTGTAGAAACATACTACAAGACAGTGATTATTTATATAAAATTAAAAACATTTTGTTTGGTATATTCATGTAATTCATAGCGAGAATCTCATATTAAATATCCGATTCGTATTTTATATCAAAATATTTACATTTAATTACTTAAATATTATTAGAAATAATATACTTGTATACAACACAAATTAAGTAATTGGAAAATTATCTCTGAAAAATACTTAGTAAGTATTAAATTCTCATAATCTCTGCACTTAAATTATTAAAATAAATAGTGCAAAAATTAAAAAAATAAATAAATATTACAAAAAAACAATAAAGGATTTCTATAACAAAAAAATTAAATAACTTTTTATTTTATTAAAAATTAATTAACTTTTTATCTTATTAAAAATTAATAAGATTTTTCTATGTCAATAAAAAAACAGTAATATTTGTTAAATGTTTGTTTAAAATAAAATGAATGTATAGTTAATATTAATTTTATAAAATTGAAATGAAAATATACTTATTAACGTACTTTTCATTTTAGATGACTAATGATATGGAGGTCGGCAATAAATCATTTCATCTCCGATGGAATAATCACTTGGAAAATTTACGCGCATTATTTGAATGTTTGTTTAACGAACAAATTCTTGTTGATGTAACGATTGCTTGTCAAGATGGTCTATTGAGGGTATGTAATTCACAATTATTATTAATTAATAATCCTTGACCGCAATATTTTATGATTTTTATGTTTAGGCGCATAAGTTAATCTTGTCCGCATGCAGTCCATACTTCGAGACAATCTTTCAAGAGAATCCGTGTAAACATCCTACGGTGATAATGAGAGGTGTCACTTTAAATGAGATGCAAAGCCTGTGTCAGTACATGTACGTTGGTTCTGTTGAAGTACAAGAAAACAATTTGAGTTCTCTTTTAAAAGTCGCTAGAGAATTACAAATTAAAGGTTAATTAAAAAATATTTAATTTAAAATTAAAAAAATTATTATTAAACATAATAATTTATTTTTAGGTTTATCAGAGAAAACTGTGTCCAATGATCAATCGAAACACAAGCCAACATTCAATTATACACCAATTAAATCATCTGAAACTTCCGACCCAGATGCCAGTAATAAGTTTGAAATGGTAAATTATTTAATGATACAATATTGGTTTCAGCCTTTATACGTATTTATACGCATTAAAATAAAATATATTTTATTTTTTTGCGCAGACAAATGGTAGTTCCAGCTCAATTGAAACCGATTCCAGGACATTCCAAGTACCGTGTGAGGATGATTCGTCAGATAATAATACGTCTTTCGAGCACTCAGCTATGTTAAGCCCTCAAGTTATGATGGACGAGCATACAGATGAAAACAAACCCACAATATTGTCGCAACCCAAATATCAACCGACCCATGTAGATTTTCAAGCCTTTTTAGAGGCTCAAAACAAAGTTAACCTAACCGGATCTGTCGAATGTCCAACGTGTCAACGGACGTTTCTGAATAAACAAAACCTCAGACGTCACATGCAAACCCATTCCGGATTAAAACCACATCAATGTTCTTTCTGCAATCTGTCGTTTTTGAGACTATCACATTTACAACGTCACCACAGAACGCATACTGGAGAACGACCATTCATGTGCACAGAGTGTCCAAAGAGTTTCTCAAGGTCAGACAAGTTAAGATATCACATCATGCAGCAGCATGCCAGCATGGCTCACCTTCCTGGACCCAAGCAGAGAGGTAGACCAAAAAAGGTCAGCATACTGAAAACTGTGTACTGGGACACTGGTCGGTTAATGAACATCAGTGTCTTGTGCAAACAATTTTTATTCGTATGCACAAATTTCTGTTTTTTATTAATAATAGTTTAAATATTTGTGTGTATTATAGTTTGATTCGCCGCCCAGTAACGTAGATGTGACAATGGTGGCAAACATTCAAAATTTTGAAGAACAATGTGTTCCGGCACCTGTGCAAGAGTTACAAGAGCCATTAAACTTGGCTCATTAGATCTCTAAACACCTTTGAAATGTTTTTTTCTTTTTTTGTAAATTTTTTTGTTCAAAAGATTGTGTTCTTAACTTATAATGTATTATTAGAGTGTTTGGTTTAATTCTCATGTAAATAATTAATGATTTAAGTCATAGATTGTATAAACTAAGGTTAGATGACACTATTTAGATAGTGTATCAATTAACAAGTATAATTTATTAATTTTAAAAATTGTGTACTCGTATATTTGAATTATAAAATATAATGCCATTATGAAAAAAAAAAAATTATAATATATATCATACAGTATTAATTACCAGCTTAGATAGGTGGATCCAAGGGTTTAAGGTCATATTACACATACATACACATTTCCACAATTTTATTATTTAAAGAAATATGTTGGTAATCTAATAATTTGATTACCTAAACAGATAAATAACTAAATTATGAATTACACTATCGCTAAATGATATTTTAACAATAAGTCCAAGTGATGGATTTGATACTTACATAATATTTAAAAATATATGAGATAAAAATTTATTTATCATGCATTGAAATGAATGCAACCCCTCACAGACAGTTATGCTCTGGATCTGTCCCAATCACACCCTGTTTGTAGTTTATTTAATTTATGTCATTTAGTGTAAATTTATTATCGATAAACAGGGCATGAGAGGAATAGATCCAGAGCAATAATTAAAATATCCGTGATGGATATCATGGATCATATAAAACACTTTTTTCTGTGATTAAAAGAACTTATACATATTGTGTTATACATTTTTCTATTTACCTTGATGTAGTTGTAGTATCATTGTGTCAAAAAATGATTTTTTAATTTTACTGTTTGAATTCCTTATTAACAATTTTGTATTTGATGTTTAGTCCTAAGAAAAATACATATTTTTCTATCTAAGAAGTAGTTTATCATAATATTATTACTCCAAATTAACCATATAATCACAATCAAAACTATACATAAAGTGGTATTGTTTGTTCCCACTCTTTGAATTTTAATTATTTTTTATTGTTAGTTGCATTTTACATAATGATAAACTGACATTTGGGATAAATATTGTTTCTATAAAAAATTATATCTACATAAGACTGACAAAAACAGAAATGTAAAATAATATAACTATTTGATGCAATAGAATCAAACTTACCAGAACCATTGGTATTTATTTATTATTATTATTATTATTATTATTATTTTCAACAAAAATTAGCGATTGATTGTGTTAGATCGTTATGTATTTAAATATTTTAAACATAATTATAAATTGAATTGTACTATATGTGTGTATGTATCTACACAAATTGTTTGTCTTTTTTTTTTTATATACCTTATATAATACATTTGTAAAGTAAATATTTTATTAATAATTAAAATCCTGTATTTCCTTTTACATATTGTATATAGTTTTTAAGAGCTTGTTGAAGGCACTAAACAGCTATTAGATCCTAGACTTTTGAAAAAACTACCCGTTTTACTTGTAGGGCTCTGTTGATTTGGAGCAATTGGATTACAACTCTGACAACCATTCTTCCTCAGGTGTCTGTTGTTCACATGCATTAGTGCATTTTTCAACAGACCTATTTGTGTTGCTAATTTGAATATTTCTTCTTTGAGTTCTTCATTTTCTGTCTGTAAATCATTAGTTTCTTCACAGATATCATTCATTTCATATGACACTAGGCCTTTTGCTTGATGTTTATTGTCCCAGTGGTCACCTTGGCCATTCAATACTCTCACCACTTTTGAACCAAACACCAAAGCTATGGTCACTGAAGTGCTCAATTGAGTTCGTATGAATCCTAATGTGTATTTGAAATTGGGACCAATGTCGGGAAATAGAAAAAAGCTAAATAGATAACAAAATTAAATTATAAATTACTAATTTATGTCTACTTAAGACAAGTTCACAGCCATTAATTCAATATCCAGAGCCCAACTAGTTAACACTATAGTCTAAACATTGACACATTAAAGTACCTAATAAAAAACTAATCACAATAATATATGATTTTCTGTATATTGAATAGCATTGAAATATTAAAATTTTAAAATATCGTTTTAAATATTCGAATAAAATATAAATGCTTGTATTGATTTATTCGTATGTAATAATTAATACCATTAATAACTAACATAATGTATAGGTATAGACAGTATAATATAAGTATTTTGTTCATAAACTATTCAAATCAATTTCCTTAATTTTATTTTATGCAGTAAATAAAATCAAATATGCACCTAATAAAAATAATAAATTAATAACTAATCAAGTATGCATTGAAATACATAGATATGTAAGTACCCACTTAGTATTCCTAAATTTTTATAAGTTTTTGTACAAATTTCTTGTTAAGGTATTAAAAATTGGTCCAGAGACTGACACGTTTAAAAGAAAATATGGAAATAGATTGAATTTATAGAACTTATTGTTTTGGGATACTGCAACTTCTATAATATGTTTATTTGGTTATTTTTATAGAATGAAATAGACCGTCAGTCAAATATTTTTCGAGTTGGGCTCTGTAGAAAAACCACGACCATTATAATAGGACACAAAAAATAAATTATTTATACTGATCGTTCTAAGTTAATCTTACTGGATCGTCATCATGATGATGTTCACTATAAATATGTTGTAGATAGCAAAGTTGATGGACTGCGCTTCATTGTAAAATGACTCTGCGTTCCGCACGACGTAACATACCCGAACTCCCCACGCCAGGAACAAAACTTCTCCTATATTAGTCATATCGACATCATATTAAAGTTATTGTTGTCATCATTGCATCATTGTCATTTTGTACGCGTGACTGCATATATTTCACTGGATATGGAATATGGACATTTTCCTCCCACTATTTTGAATAAACGTTATTATTCGCATTATATGAATAACCAAATCAGAGAAAACTGTTTATTTTTCCGAAATGCATGTTCTGTATTTTGGATTGGACAAATTTAGTTATAAAAAAAATTGGGAGAAAAATGTCCTGACTTCCGCGTACTCACATTATTTATTATTAATATTAATAGCAATAAATTTAGCGCACCAGCTGCCAGACAATAGTCCCACCAATCATTCGAACACTTCCAAAATCTCAGATTTGTTTCTGTTTCCTTTTCCAATACTGCTTGGGGTGGGTCGCTGAAAGTCCAAGCTCCCATATATACCAATATTATCACCAATATCGGGGTCATCCACTGCAGCAGCTGTTTATCAGTGAGCTTCAATTTATGTGCTGATTTCACCCTGTATGTCAGCGACACCCTCCAGGTCTTCATTAACAATGCCGAGTATGTTATACAAAATCCAAAATGTCGTGTCCATTTTGTAGCCACACACAATTTTTGGGTGCATTCGGGAAACATAATTCCCATCTATACAATATAATATAATTATCGATGTATGTACAAATATTTTAATATTTAATAAATTAGAATTTGGAGTACCTGATGCATACCCTGCATAGTATAATAAATATTTCAATTATAAATTATACATGTGAATTGAGGGAAATTTATTTTTATAATTTTTTTTATCTTCTTTATCTTTTTCTAGCATTATAAATAATGATTTATTACATTATAAAATTTACTTGAATAAATACATTTTAAAAACGTATAATGTTTTAAAAATACCTAACTAAATGTTAATTGCTTCTGGGGCTTGGGCATAATTTCTATGTTTTAATTTTAAAATGGTGTTTTCTTATATTTGTATAATTAAAATTAAAAACGAGTTTTCTTGGATAACATACACCTTACATTAATTTATTATTTGCTTTTATAATTTTCTTATGCATCTATGATATTGTTATGATATTATATAATTTGAAAATGTGGTTTCACTTGAGAATGGACTATAAACGTTTGTATGGAATAGCGCTATTGAATATTAACATATTATACTAAGTAAATGGCTATATCAATGAACTCCATTACATATTGATATATTATACTAAATTTAACAGTTTTGCAGAAACGAACAAAAATTTCTTATTTTATTCAATAATTTAAATTTATATTTTGTTTCAAATAAAATAATAAAATTAGCTTTAGGTACCTATACCTAACTTAATATATTACTGTAATACAACTAATATAAAATTACAAGTCGTGTATTTTTTCCAATAAAAATATTTGTGATGTATTTACTTTAACTTTTAACAAAAGCTAAGGACATCCGAGATCAAAGTTTTAAGAATAACACATGTATAACTGTACTTGATATTGAATTAAACTAACTGCTGGAGAAGAAAACAGAACGCAAAAGTAAAAAAAAATGATAAATGATATTATACAAAAATTAATTTTTGTTTCTAACGATTTATATTATATTATATTTATATAATTATAAGTTATTTCCTTAATTCAATAAATCGAGTTGATTTTAAATGTAAACATATTAGTAGTTTATAATTTTTCCGCATTCTTAATAAAATATTTCAAACTTAAAACATTTAACGACAAAATTGTGATAACAAATTTTTAATATTTTTAAAACGTAGGTAATAATAATTATAAGTACATAATAACTTGAGCTGAATTTTATAACTTTATGTTAAATTAAACATTTTATGAATTATTTATTAATTATTTGAAGGATTAGAATGTTTATGACCTTAAAAACACTAGACATGCATGCAAATATGCGTTATAAATATCAAAATATTTCCTTAAAAAAATTTAATATATCTTTTTAAAATTAGTTTATTACTAATCCAAAATGTATTCTAAATTAGTTTACAATATTATTTTTAGAACTTTAAATTTAAATACAAATACATACAAATTTGAGATTTTTGAAATTAAAAATATAGGTACTTAAATATAATTTTGTTTTTACTCAAAAGATACAAATATAGGTACATACAAATGCAAATGTAAATCATTATGTACTATCGGCATCACCACACTATCGCGATCATCGTTCATAAACATGATTATATTGATTAATAAACTTTAGAGTTATAGTAAAGATAAATAAGTAATAAAGATTAGTTCTCGTTTTCGTTAGTTATGAAACCAATAATTCCTACCTATGGGTTTATATTGATATTTATATTATATTTAAGTTATTTTTTGGACGAAATATACATTTATTTACATTTTTTTGGCATAATATGCATTTATTTATGAAAATCCTTAAATATGCAAAAATATGAAAAATAAAATTGAATGTATCGGATTCTATGTCATACAAAACGAATTTATTACTGGGTTTGCAATGTGTATGACTAAAAGAAGAAATATACAAAAATCGTAAATATCTTATCCCTAGTTATTACTTATTACTTGTAGAATAAAATGCAATTTTTTATTTTTAACGGAAGTTATTTATATTTAAACTTTAGACACTTACCTGTTTAAAAAGAAAAACTTATGAAAAATATTGTATTAATTAAA